AGCGACCATTCAGCGGATACATGTTCAGTAACGAATTTTGATAAACCGTATCCATTAAGCATTGCATTTGCAATATCTTGAGGTAATTCATCCTCTTTAATATTCGTTTTTGATCCAATAGTTGTACTGATACTTGAGGTAAAATTAAAGTGAACATTTTGATGATGAGCATATGCATCACGGGCGAGCATAAGAAGATGAACAGTTCCACCGATACTTTCACGTTCAAAAGCATCGATTTTGCTATTAAAGTCCAATCTCCAAGCGACGTGATAAATTTGTGTTATTTCATGTACAAGTTTTAAATAAATATTTTCGGTTTGTCCAAGTTTCGAATCACTCAAATCACTTGGTAAAATAATAACTCGATCCTTAGATAATAATGAAGTATCCAAATTACGTTGTTCAAATGAATCCTTTAATCGAGTCCATCCATGATTTTCATCTGACGCTCTCACCAAACAATAAACTTTAAGCACATTTGGATTTTTTAACAAATCACGGAGGAGAAAAGAGCCAAGGGATCCAGTAACTCCTGTCATAAGGACCGTTTCACCATTTTTTTCATTTACGATTTCATTAATTCCATTATTAACGTTTCCTTGGGAAGGAAAATCATCAGTTTTACTATATTTTTGGATATATGAATCCACTTCATTTTTAAGAGCTTGTAATTTTGCTTCGTAGTCATCTTCGATACGTTGTTGAGTGTTGTTTTTTAATAATTTTTTTGTCAAATAATGTGTAAGACTTTTGAATGTATTATATTCGAAAATCACATCATGAGGAAGGTTAATAGCCGAAAATTGTTTTTGAAGAATAGATCGTAATTTGGTTGCAGATAAAGAGTCTAGACCAAGAGCAAAGAATGTGGTTTCCTCGTCATTAGTTGATGAAAATGAATCTCCAATGGCTAATTTAAGAGAATCCAATACAGTAGTTTTTATGGAATCTTCATTCCATTGACGATCAGAAAAGGATTTCTCATTCGGAACAGCTTTTCCATTTACTAAATTATCATAAAGCATTTCTATTTCTTCTTTAAATTCTACTTCAACTTTTTTACGTTGAATATTATTTTTAAAGGTTCTAGGTAAGATTTTTCCTTCAAGAGGTAAGATATAAATCATTTCGTCAAAAATTCGAGAATGTGATGGACAGTCAACATTAGCTTGATGAACAGAGTCAATAATACTTTTTGTGATTTCCAAGAAAGGTGTATTTTTTAAATTATCGAAATCGAGTTCAATTAAAAGACAATTTAATGGTCGATTATGTCCAACGACAACTGCATGTTTAACAAATTGGTTATGACGAATTTTATCTTCGATAGGTATTGGATTTGTCTTTTCACCAGTGACATGAACAAGTATATCATCAACCCGACCAAGTAAAGTATAATAGCCAGAACCTTTTGGAGTTTCAAGAAAGAGATCACCTACTTTGTAATCACCATCATCTGTATTTCCTTTAATGTTTGCAAGGGTAGAAGTTCCTTTTTTTATAACTAATTCTCTCGCACCATCATGAACATCATTCCTTTCTATCCATTTAATATCACTTTCTGGTAATAACAATTTCATTGTATTCCATGGAATATTAGGCGAAGAATAATTTTCAAGTCTACCCATAACGGGACCAATTTCGGTCGATGCGTAAACAGTTAAAATATTGACGCCAGATTGAATAAGTTGCTCACCTACTTGAGGTGATAATGCAGCTCCAGCAAAATAGACAGATTTTAATTTTATTAACGCCTTAATTTCATCTGGATAATCTTTGTGAATTTGTTCGAGAATAACGGGTAAAGTATAAAGAACGCTAGCATTGGACAGTTTTAAACTATGCAAAATTTCATGTACTAAAGGAATTGATCCTGAGACAATTGGGAATACATATAAAGTACCAGGAGTTAAAATGGATCTTGTTGCAATAAGTATTCCATAAATATGAAATATTGGAGGGGTTGCTAAGACAATATCATCAGCATTGTCTTCTGTTTGTTTATTTAAAAGATAACGATTAGATATAGGAACTAGTTTAGGATATGAGGTTGAACCGGAACTGTGAAAAATGGCAATAGTTTTTTCGTAATGATTATCATCATTTAATTTTAGGACAGGAGCTGAATCATTGATTTTTTCATTCTTCAAACTATTAGGAAGTTGAAAAATGTTGAGCGTCTTCGAATGTTGAGAACTTAATTCACTTTGCACATTTTTTGAGGATTTTAAAAATTGAGGATCGTGGATGAGAATACGCGAATTAGCTTCATGGAGTAAATGAACTAAAGCAGGTTCTGAATTTCGAGGGCTAAGGAATAAGATTGTAAAGCCTAATTTCCATAAAGCTATGATGTTATACAAGTATTCAGGACCACTTTGTGATAAATAACCGATTACGCAGTCTTTTTCCAAGGTTTCATTCTCTAATTGTTTATTCCAATAGTTAGCGTATTTATTGGTAATAAGGTCCAAGTCTTGAAAATTAATTTCTTCATATTCAGCACCATTGGGGACCAAAAGAACCTTCTCTTTTGGTCTAGTTGATACAAGATGTTGAAAGGCTTTTAATAAATTTTCGTGTTCGTGAGACATTTTGATTACAGGATATAAGTTTTATAAAAGTTTTATAAAAGTTTTGTTTAAAATTTGAGTCGAGATTTTGGTTTTTTGTTTCGTACTTACATTCATAAGGCATTGTATTTATAATATTTGCCAACGGCACGAAAATACCGTGTTCCAGTCACCTACGAAAATGCGGGTAAAATATTGCCGGATACGTATCCACCGAACACCCCATCACACAGGGTGATGATTAATATTTAACGATTGTTTGATGATTAATACTTACGCCGTGTGATGTGGTGAAATGATTGTCGATGAAATGATACGTATTCATAACGGCGCATTTGTCAAATTTAACTAATTTTTGGTCCTAAATTTAAGTTTTAGGAACAAAATTTATTGTCGCGGGTTATCGTGAAATCGGATCATCGTGAAATTTGGGGTCTCAATTTGAAAATATAAGCCCTACCAAAATCCACCTATACT